CTTTGTGTAGCTTGCAGAGGCCAGAGGCAGCACGAGCTCACAGGATACTGTAAGGCTCAAGAAGAAGAAATCACCCAACTGCTCACTTTACAAATGCTCTCAGCAGAGGCAGCCCTGCTGTATTGACAGCATGGTTGAGATTTATATATGCTGACAGGAGAGCAAGGGAACATATCATGACTGACTACACTGGGCATTGTGGAACCCTATATGAGGCAAATAAGATGCAGTCACTGACATTCATCTCAGAAGGAGGGGAGCCTGCTTCAGCCATGCAGGATGAAGGCGTACACTGCTGGGGAAACATTCCCCACATCCACTGTGCAATGCTAGTCACTTAATTTCTAGTTCTGTTAAATCCCAATTTAACCCTTAGGCTCTGTAGCTCAAATCAGTATGTGGTAGTGTAAATACAGCAGCCTAATTGTACAAAAATAACAGAATTTTCTATGGCTGGCCCCCCCCCTCAACACAATTTTTTCAAAAAGCAAAGTCATTAGTCAAGAGATCTGTCTATTGGCTGAGACTTTTAGTTGAGCCTTTGTTTTTATTTTATTTTTTTGTCAGCCAGTGTACATTATAATAGAAGGTAGCCCCAGCCAGTAGTTTGTTGACTTCTTCTCCTCATTTTGGTTTGCCAAGCAGCTATTTGTTCGGTACTTCCCCCTGTGGATGGTGGGGGAATACCAACTTCAACAGTGACAATGTCCTATACATGGGTGTATCGGATAGGTCAGATCTATTTAGCAAACTGCAGAATGAGGAGAAAATACAATAAAACCCAAAAGCCATAGACATTTTGTGTCTGGAGGATACAAGAATATCATCAACATGCACCATATTTGTTTTGCTAGCATTGAAAGACAAGTAATATTCTAAGGGCACAAGTACAAGCAAAGGATGGGTTTTGTACACAGCAAATTTTTGTCTAAGGATTTGACTTTTTCCATTTTTCAACATCTCATATTGTTTGAATAGCTTTTATTTTGTTTCCTGAAGTTTTTTGGTGATGAAAAACAGCTAAGCTTGACCTATAGGATAGAAGAAAAGCAGACCAAAAAAACATAAAGCATACTCATTTAGAATTACAAGAAATTGTGTTCTTAATTATTGTAGGTTTGTTTTTAAGTTGAGGTGTCTGTGATTGTTAAAATATATCTGGCTTTGTCATGAGCTATTCAGAGCAAAACACAAACTCCTTAGTGAATCTGATACAACAGCAGATAAGATCTCTCAACTCACTCAGCACCGTACCAGCGCTACACATTCGCTTGTGGTCAATACAATAAGGCTTAGAGGGTGATTTTTCCATTCAGTGTAATTGGCTGGGGACTGTCAACCCACACTTCCTTTCAGTTCATAGCCGTTGTATTCATATCACTTGGCTACTATTTGGTCTGACTGACCCATTGATTGCAGGTTTAAACCCCCAGCTCTCCAAATAGTAACCTCGCTCAGCTGTTTCATGGCTGTGTTGCCGTTAGCAACAATGAAAAGAGCAATATGGAAATCAGTCGTTTCAATTAAGGGTCTGATAGACAACAGTCCTAGAAGAGTTGGTATCTAGTACTCTGTGACTGAGACTTTTACATCTGTCACTCCATCCAGCCAGATGTCTGTGTTTAAATCAGCAGGATTATCTCTAATTGGACTGATAGCTGAAAGAGACCTCCCGGTTGCCAAACCTCCTCCTTTTTATAACTCATATTAAGATCAAATCAAGCTCTGCACAACAGGAATTATACCACACCCTCCTCTGCCGTCTGCTGCCCAGAGGAAGACATCAGAGGTGGATCTGTCCCCTCTCGGGTGCTGCCTGCTTCTCCAGACTCCCTTCCATCTGGGATCCTCAGGGAGAAGAAGGATATCTGACAAGGGGCTTGTAAGCCTCTTAGCCCCCCTGTTGCCCAGCTCTCTCTCAGCCCATGTTTTCCTAATTTAGTTGTGTAAGGAGTCCACTGCAAGGCCCCTGTGTGATGTTTGGATTGATATTCTCTTTGTGGTTCTAATAGACTCGCCATGTATATCAATTAACACTACTCAGCAAGTCGCAGGTTCAAATCTCATGAGACCTGTAGTGGTAATTCCTTTCTGAATATTTTCTTATGGCTTCAATAGCATCTATTTGTTATTGACTTCACTTTATTATTTATTTATTTTTGCTTGATATTCCTATATTAGCTGAGTTTCTTTGAAATACATTAATGAGCATTTCAGTTGAACTGGGAGCATTCAATGAAAATTCAGTGTTGGAACCTTAGTGTCCTTGTTTAAAGCTGATTTTTTTTTTTGAATGTTTAAATTACAACATTGAGAATAATTGTCTTTAAATCACAGCCTTTGATGCATTGGCAGCCAGTCCCTGATTATAGGCCAGTTTCCTTAAGATTGTTTCCATCCTAATGGAGAAGCACATTTGCCTATATAAAAGAACAATAACTACTTGCCAAATGCTCATCAGGTTAAGAAAACCTTTTCCATTTTGTTGTGCACATCATAGCAACATCCTTTTCACAGTCTCTCAAATTGTTCACTCAGAATGTTTTTGATAGGTGGGTGGATGCAGTGATATTTATCCCTACTGCTGCACTTGTTCTTGGTTGATAGTGGAAAAAGTTTTTTCTTCTACTTGCGATTGCTCTGCTCTGACTGAACAGGGCTCCCTCAGTAAGAGGATCACAGAGTTAAACACACAATACGGTATTGCCATCGGCAGCTATTAATTTGGGATCCCCCTCTTTTCCCCACTGTAGCACTCTGCTGTGTCTGTGGGAGGCCGGTGGCCACAGATGGTTCTGCAGAGAGACCTGCATTGACTTTCTTTGTTTTCCCATAAACATGTTTGGTGTGTAACCCTGGATTAACGGAGACTTTGTGTTAATTTACAGCTGCAGTACAGCATTCATTTCATGTTGGTATCCCCCAGCACACACGTGTTGGATATTATGAGCAAGAGATAGCGTGGATTGCCTGACTCTTTGCTCAGGGGAATTAGAGATAATAGAGATCCAATCAGAAGTCTCTGTGGATGTCCACCACATTCTGAATCTCAAAGGAATCACCATAGTTCACATATACACTTTTTTATGTAGGTAATACTGTTGTCTGTGCACATTGACACCACATGTATACACACAGACACATACTATCAATGACAGAGGGTGCCTCAGAAAACCAGGCAGCTGCATATGGACTCTCTTGATATCAGTCACTGGCCGTGTGATCTTGTTATGCAAAGTCCCTTAATCCCTACCTATGATGAATGGAATGGGGGGGGGTTCTGAAACAGAGATATGAGGGCAGCTGTACCGGAGCCTGTCCACTGTGCTTTGTAAATGAGTGCTAGCAAAGATTCCTAATTCCCAGCCTTGCAGAAGGAAGACCACGTGACATCATGTCTGAGAGTGTGTTATGGTAACGCAAGGACTGAGATGCTGGTGGAAAAAGCTGAGAGCAATCAACAAAGAGAGCTGAACATGTCGCCTTAGTGTTGACCTGAGATCCACATTGCTAACCTTTAGACCACTCGCTTCCCAACAGAGGAATTATAGGGCCAGAGGTGTTACTGTACCAGCTGTGGAAAGACTGAGTTTATAATTCTTGTGGAACAGATGACGAGACCGGAGCAGGTCATTTGGGCTCTGTGCTGAGCATATACTTTGTATGTCCCCCTTCACCTGCTGGAGCACAGTGGCTGACAAAAAGCAGAGGGTTGCCAGGGGTGATCATAGAACACAGGGATGAACGGAGTAGCAGCACACAGGGAGGTGAAAGGATGGATTTGGCCTTTTTTAAGATCACAGAGGCTGTTGAATGGGCAAAAGAGAAAAACCATGCTAGGGATGAAAGAATAGATGTAGGGTTTAATAGGTGAAATATAGTTGGCATCAATGAGAGAGCAGTGTGTGAGAGAGAGAGAGAAGACAGGAGGGGGTAATGGGATTAGGGGTAACACCTTTGGCAGGGCTGGGAGAGCCACCTGACACCCGGTCTGTTGGGGACCTAGTGGAGAAAGGGGGCTGGAGGTAGTGGGGCAAGGGAGAAATTGTGGGTCTAATCCGTGTCCATCTTTGGGAAGTCATTCCCAGAGCTCTGAGGATTTGGGGCTTTGGTTTCCGCTCTGCTTCCTTTGGTTAATAATACCCCGGGTGGTGAGAGAAGACATGGAGAGAGAAAGAGATGGATGGAATAGGGGAGATGGAGAAAAAGATTTCTTACCCTGTGGTGGACTGGTAGGACAACAGCCTGAGCAAAAATGTTTGAAGTACACACTGAACTCTAAGCCAAGATGTGTCTATTCTTTTCTAAGTATACTGTTTTAATCTGTGTATATGTGTGCCTGTGAACATGCTCTGTATGACAGTGTGTAAAGATTGACTTACTTACTTTTGTCCATCCAACAGGTTGCAGCCTGAGTAAAAGTCAATAATCTGAGTGTGGTTGGGATGTTTGCTCAGAAGACACATGGCTATTCTGTGTGTGCGTTTGCGTGAGAGTGTTTGCAGGGACGGTGGAAGGGTGCTTGGGCTGTCTTTGTGTTTCTATGGTGCTGACAGAAGTTGATAACTGCTCTAATGATTTTGGCGGTAGTGGAGGCAGCACAGTGTCAGGGATTAGTTGCAGACGGTGCAGAGCTGCTTGGCTGGATGTGTCACAGCTTCTGTGTTTGTCCGTCACCTGTTTGCAAGGTGTTGATTGGTCCATCCTACACAGGATCAAAGTTCAGGGCAGTTTTCTGGTGTGAACTGGCCGCTCAGCCTCTGAGAATGAAACACCAGGGAATGTGCCATCTTAGCAGTAGGCCATGTGTGACAACCTTGTCTACACCTTTAAAAATTAAACCTAAAACATCTTTTGTTTGTAGAAATCCTGTAAAGGACATAAGCCTATCATAAATAGAGCAGACACAGACTCATTTCCTCCTCATTGTATGTTTAGACCATTTGACAACTACTGTATGTAAATTTTACATTATGCTACGGTTGTGTTTTGTGCTGTAGGTGGAGATGTTCCGCCGTGTGCTGGGGACGACCCTGGGCTTCGTGGGCTACACGATCCAATATGGCTGCATAGCACACTGTGCCTTCGAATACATTGGGGAATTTGTGATAGTTTGTATTATTAAGATTACAGAATTAATTATAGATATTTTTACTCAAACTATATAAATTCCTTTATGCCCATGAAACAGTTGTTTCTTTGTTGTTTTGCTTCAGTGCTCCGGTCCATCCATGGAGCCCACCATTGTCAACCGTGACATTGTCTTCTCTGAACGGATGAGTCGTCATCTTTGCAAAATACAAAAGTGAGTTGCAGTTTGTGGATACAAATGCAGTAACCTAAAAAAAGGGCACAGTAACAATGTAGGAATAGCCAATAGCCTATTTAAACATTTCAGTTTATATTTATGATTGACTGCTATGATTTCAGGCCACTGTTTTTTTTTTCTTTTGGTTTGTTTTGTTTTCCCAAAGGAGTAAAGGAAAAGATGGAAACAGTTTCTGACAAATACACATAGGTAACAGGAAATATATAGCATTTTACAGGAGTTAATGCACACGAAGTTGTTACAAATTAAGTGATTGTGTCATGCTGTTTTTTTTTTCCAGGGGTGATGTAATTATTGCAAAGAGTCCATTTGATCCAAAGTTGAACATCTGTAAAAGGGTAATTGGATTGGAAGGTGACAAAATCTGCACAAGTGCCCCATCAGATGTGTTCAAGACCCACACATATGTGAGTATGTTTAAGTGTCACGCTTTTCGTCTGCTTGTTTTATAGTTCATCCTGTGATTACCTGCTTTACCCAATAAGGTTCCTAGTATTCAAATTTTATCCCTGGCTATGTTTTTCCACTGTATGTTCTGTGTCTGTCTGTGTTTAGAGGAGGGAGGGGCTGCTCCTCTCTCACACACATGGTCAGCTGTGTGTTTACCTCACCCTCTCATCCCCTGCGTTCCTGGTACTTGATTTTAGTACTACTACTGCCTTAGTGGAAAGTAACTCAGAACCAGTGACTAGCGTTATTTGGCTTGACATGTAGATTCCCATAATGGAAAAACCCCTATAGTCATATGGAAACTACTACTTCTAAATGTGTGATGCTGCAGAATAAAAAAAAAAAACTTTCAGTTGGGAGTGTCTCAGCAGCAGGTGCTACAGGTGCTGGGTAGAGGGAAGTAAACAACAATCAAGATGGCATGTAAATGGTCCCTGAAGCTATGTATGTATGTAGTATGGATGTAATCCCACTGCCAACAGTTCAGTATCTGGGCTACAGAAACGTCCCTTCACAGTATGTGAGCAGGGTGGCAGGTGGTTGTTAATAAAAGGGGGATGCCCTTATTGATAAACCTTATAGTCTGTCTTCTTTCCTCCACCAGTCTCTGTTGCCTGGACCCAACACTAAACCTTCAGTTTGTTGAACAAAGTATCAGTATGGTATTGGTATTCGCCATACCAGTCTAGATTTTACTTGGTATGAGATGAGAAAGGAAATAAGTGATATCACACATCACTAACAGAAAGCCAGGTTGCCACTTATTTCTTCTTTAGATGCCAAAGAGCTGTGTTTGCTTTATAGTTTACGTGGGCCTTACAGGCGGTCAGCGATCTCGCAACTCTGTTAAACAGTAAGAGAAGCCTCCTAGTGGTGAAAACGGATACTGCAGCACATTTTCTGACAGTCAACATCGCATTTGTATTGTTCAGTTTTGGCTAATATATTTTTAGTTGATTAAATTCAACAGTAATGACGCCCCAGATTCCTAGTGGCAGTTTTACTGTTTTGCATCGAACAACCACAACTCTGAGTGTGTCTTTGGAAGAAAAAAGGTTGCAACATATAGTCAAATAGAGAATGAATGAAGAATCCATTTACAACAAAAGACTTGATAGTTTGTTTCACCCAAAAATGCCAAACAATCTCTATGCATAATAGAAAAGCATCTCTGAGGTTGCCGTTGGTTTTCTTTGTCTGAATACCACAGTCTATAGACTATCATAGTTGTTTACATTTTAGACCGTACACTTCCATTTTGTGTCATTGGTCAAAATATCAGCTTTTGACAACACCTATATTTCCTCAGAACAGTGATAAAGCCCGAGAGTGAGCAGGGGTTCTGCTGCTGAAACCACTGTCATTGCTTTTCTATTACTACTCTGCCCAACGCCCACAGCTCAGGCCTGCAATCTCTCTGAAGCCTGTTAGAGTTAGTGCCAGCCGAATGGACAGACTGATGGCTGGGTGGAGGGGTGTGGGTGTGTGTGCGAGTGTGTACATACTCCACAAACCAAAGGTTGCGTTTATGTTGCATGTTCTTGAATTTATTGTGTATTTTATAGATTGTGGGCAAACTGTTGAATGGGTTCAGCAAAACATAGCATAAGGCCAATCCTGTAAGTGTCATTCAACAAATGAAACAGGAAATAAAGAGGTTTCTTCTTCTACTAGCGTCACTTCCACATACAGAGGCCTTAACTTGTAATAGGTGGTGATGTTGTGTTGTGATTCAAGATCCCAGGACGTAGTGACAGATGTCTCAGTGTGAATCGTTTTTAAACTTGCCACCAGGTGGAGAGCTACAGTGCTGTCCATCAAGTTTAGGATAAAACCTAATGACTTCTGTTCATTTTGGATGCCCCACTTTCACTTACTTAGTATATCTCCCGGCCACATACTGGAAGCCAGTCAGTAGATTGGAATAGCTTGGTGGCATATAGTAGGTTTCAGGTCACTTAAATTCTCATTTGGTGTCATTTGTACTGCTAAAATTTCACCGTTTTTGAAAATGTAAATGTGCTTAATTTGTCAAGTATTGATTCATAGCACTGACAGTGTATCCACCTGTATATTTTTCAAATTACCGTAACACCCTACAGTGCATATTATTTTACCTGATCAAATTCAGGGTTTTGATGTGTTAACTTACACTGTGTTTTAAATGGCCCTCCCACGTGGCCAAAATCCACACCTTTACTGCTCACACTGTACGTTCACTTAGTCGGGCACCACGTGAGTGCTCACACTACGGGTGTGTTAATTGACAACTCCAATAAACTTGAGGTCAACTAAAATTAAAATGTTAATTTTAGCCATTTTACTCTGTACAGCTGATGAACAGTGATAATCTGTTGTCACTGACAGTCATGACGCCGTTCTCACCGTTGTACAGTACAGTGCAGTGCTGTCAGAGCTCGATTAGACTCATCCATATACAGTATTAACATTAAAAACATTATGGCCTCATTTCAGTTGATTTTGTCCACAAAATGTGGTATGTCATCTATGCCATGCTGTTATGTTGTTGTCTCTGTACTCACGCTAGTGAACTGAACTAACTTCGGACCATGGACCTGCAAGACCAACCAGATTTATGACATGCCAGAAATCCACCCGATTGGTCCAGAGCTAGACTGTTGGTCATTCGGGTGATTAATCCTGAGTTGAAATTTCTAGCTCCGCGACATGTCACACACCAATCACACAAAGGTTCTTCCAGTTGTTGATTGACAGGTCATTCCTGTTGCCAGCTTTTGTTTCATTTTGAGATCAAGTCACCACTGTTCTTTTTCTGTACATGTAACTCACCGTTGGTTTTACATTCATTCTGATATATCACCTCTTTACATTTATTTCCCCTTAGATGCTCTGCAAAAACTTAGGCACTGTGTATAAGCCTTTCAGTGGTAGGGAAAACACTGAAACAATTGTTTTTTTGTTCGATGTAACGTAATGCAGAGATGACTTCCAACAGTAGACAAGAAACTCCTCGCTCAATAAATGTGTCAGGATTTTGTTTGGTG